GAAGCCAAGCAGGGTCCAACCTAGTTAGCACTTGGGTGGGACCCTTCCAGAGAAGCAGAGCTCTAAGCTAAACTGGAAAGTTGAAAAGCAGTGTAGAAAGACACAATGGCAAACTGCTTTTCATTGTTCTTAAGAAAACTTCAAGATGTACAGTCATGCTCAGTTTGAGGGCCCCTTCCCTCCCTTTATAGAAGAGGGAAATCTTTGAATACTGTACACGTGTGGCTTCTGGAATGCACTTGATACAACCAACCTTAAGTGCGTGTGTGTGTGTTTGTACAATGCCAGAACCGCAAATTCCTCTTTCCAAATGCTTTCTGTGAAGGTTGTATATAAAAGTCACATCTTTTCTCTAAATTCAACATACGATATGTAAGAAAGTAAGACAGAAATTAGTTTGTTGGTGATGAACTGAAAGCTACCAAATACTGTTTTTGGTTTTACCCACAATGATACTTTCATCCTTGCATATTATCCCAAGAAAGGCCATTCGGATCAATCATGTAGCAAATCACAACGCACATACAAAGTATTTTATTATAATTGGCTCTGATAAGGTTTTAAATGATGGGGTATAACTCATAAAGAACGTTAATGAATATGATTATATATGGCTGACCTAAAATGGAAGACCAGTGATACAAAACACAGTCCAGAATCCTGGAAAAGGAAGTCTAGAATAGTTGCCACTTTCATTTAGAAAGGTTTTGTTCCATTCAGACAAATTCTCTGCATGTTTACTTGAAAACAAGCTGCAGTGTTTTTAATGGGGCTATTTGAGATATGTTTGCAATCGGATTCACTACTCTATTGTGGCTTACTGAATTCAGTGGGGGTCACTACCTTGGATGTGGGTTCAGGATCAGACAACCATCCTACTCAGTCTGGAAGTAAACTCCATGAAATATAGTGCTTATTTCTGAGTAATATACATAGGACTGTGTTGTTAAGCAAATGCAGTCATGTATAGGATTCTGTTAATTGTGCATGTTTATAAAACAACAAGGTTGCAACCCCATGCCCACCTGGCTTGCGAGTAAACCATCTGAATTTAACGGAGCTTACTTCTGGACAGATGTGTGTGTGAGAGGTTATTTTGCAAGTTCTACTATTTTTTATATTATTAGAATTACATCGTTTTATTTCCCAAAGTAGTAACTCTGTCATGTCTTGAAACAGGAATATAGTCATGTTGAAATGGAAGTGATTAATTTTCAATGCTACTGCAATATACAATTGTATTTTATATTTTTGAAAGAGTCCTTAAATCAAAAGCACTGCAAGTCATTCTCAAATATATTACTTGTAACATTCATTCTAGACAGGGCGGAATGACTTGTAACACATGTAATATAAACATTAATTTTATCTCCCTCTCCCAAATTAAAAATATAATACATAAGAAGCATGGCTTATTATTTGCCATTATTGTTTTAATCTTTCCTATATAAAAGAGATTTAATATATTGCACTTAAAAACTTGAGTTGTGAACAGGTAACATTTCATCAGAATTGGCAGAAGGCATCTGGTTTATATTTTAACTATTTTTCTTTGGAACAGAAGTGGAACATACGGGGACATACAGTGGCAAAGGCATTTCTTCAACATATTCCCATCACTGCATGGACAACATGCAATTTAGCACTGAACTTTCAAAATGGCCAGATTTATCCTTCATGTATTTTGCCTTCCTTTTAAATGAGAGTATAGTTTTTAAAAATGATTTTATGTAAAAAAAAAAACAACAACGACCACCTTCAGACTACTTTGAATAACATCTTGTTTGTCCTGGAAGTGAATTTTCTTTTAAGGAACCTCTCTTAAATTCTTAGGGAAAGGATAAAACTGTATATTAATTGTATGTGAATTGGATGTATACTTTTTTTAAAACTCGCATGTTTGCTGGAGTTGTGTGCTTTGATATGTGCTTTTACAGTCTAGCATAATTTTTTTTTTTTTTTGCTGGTACGCTAACATACGTTGCAAATGGCAGAAACAGCATACTGAGTACAGAAGCACCTTACTGTGCAATCGTTAACCACAGCTCCAGCAAAACCAGTTTAAAATTTAATGAGATTTTTGCGCAAACAATTTGGGAGGGCATTGATGTACAAATATGGTTTCATAGCTAGGAACCTTTTGTCTCTGGATATGCTATGGTTGGGAATCAAATGCAGATCACCATCATCAGCAGTCCCTTATCTATATAAGATAACTGAAGGAAGAAAAGCATATGTGCTTTGGCAATATCTATAAAATAAAATGAAATAAAAGCATAGCAGCATAATAGGGATGCAGCAGAAGGAGAGAAAGATATATTTCAAATCTGCTGTCTCAAAGAAATGCATATTTTATTTATTTATTTCCATGTAGTTATTTCTAATTAACAGCTCCATTTGAAATAAAATTATGTCTTTAAAGTTGCCTATCCCTGCAGATATTCTTGCATTTAAAACAAAACTATAAGCAGCATTAATATTGTACACTACCTCAAAATCAATTTATTTCCAAGTACAGAAATTCTTTGAACACTCTGTGTATGGGAATATCTTAATCACAGATGAACTGTTCAGGATTATTATTTTCTTCTTCTTCTTCTTCTTCTTCTTCTTCTTCTTCTTCTTCTTCTTCTTCTTCTT